TTTTTTGGATTACCACCCTGGGCATGCATGTGCATAAGTACAATAACAGTCTCAGTCAGAGAGTGGTCCGAAACACAAAACAGATACAAGAAATTAAGTGTCAGATCATTAGCAGGAGAACATCAACATCAATGCTTGTTTAAATGAATTATGAAGAAATTTCCTTTTTTTTTTTTTCATTGTGAACAATTTGACCTTCAGGAACAACAAGGTTAGAAAAACTGCAATAACAAATCAATTTATTTCTTCTTTGTTGCTTCCATGTTTCTTCTTCTGAGCAGACAGAGAGCAGAATCGAAATTTCATAAAAGGGAAATTATGGTGCTACAGCAGCAAAGTGGCATGTAGACTCCCCAAAATATAAAATATAAAATAAAAGGCCGAAATGTCAACATAAATTCTGCGCAGTTATTTAAATAACTGTAGTCCAAAGGAAGGTGCAAATAGTTTGATTAATTTGCATTTGAGGATGAAAAGAGTGTCAACTATCTTCTGTTTTATGTCCTCATTAGAAGCCAAAACTTCAAATCTCAGTGGGATCCAGAGCTGGAAGTAGCATGAATACTACTGCCAAGCCCTAAAGCCCTTAAGGAGAGACTGTAGAGACTGTATATTTCTGCTAGCCTGGGAATTATTTTATATCCTCCACAATGACCTGGAGAAAGTCGCTGGGGAGATGAATGTCTAAGTTTCCCTCATAGGCCTGTTACCCTCGGGACCCATCTCAGATACAGTTGAAACCAGATGTTTACATAGTCTGAATAAAAACACACATTTTTCCTCACTGCTGAAGGAAAATCAGACCAGATTTCTCTTGTTTTAGGTCAGCTAGAATTACCAAAATTATCTCTATTTGCAAAATGCCACAAAAAGGAGAGACAAGATATAAATTAATTATTTTTAATATCTTCAAAGTCAGAAGCTTGTATAATGAATGATTATTGTCTCTCTCAGATCCTCTTTCCAGGTCCATTCATACAAAAAAAAAAATATATATATACATATATATATAAAGACAGCTGGATTCGAGTTTGTAAATGCATAAAGGGACAAAGACCTTCTGTTTTGGAGACATGTCCTCTGATCCGATGGCCATAATGACCATTGTTACAAAGAGAGATGCTTGTAAGCCACCATCTTAAATGTGAAGTATGGGGTTGGCAGCATCATGTTGTGGGCTGTTTTGCTGTAGGAGAAACTGGTACATTTCATAAAATATGGCATTATGAGGAAAGGACATTATGTGGAAATGTTGATGTCACATCTAAAGACATCAGTCAGGAGATTAAAGACCAAAGAGATAACACTAAGCATACAACCAAAGGACAACAAACTCGATGTTTGGCGTGACCATCACAAAGAACTCATCTCAATCCTATGGCGAATCCCAGTTTTGTTAGGAGGAATGGGTCAGAACTCCAGCAAAGTACTGGGAGAAGCTTGTGGAAGGAAACCCAAAAGTTTGACCCAAGTCATACAGTTCAAAAGACAATTATTTCTTGTACTGACCAAATGTATGTAAACTACTGAATTCAAAGAAAGCTACAGAAAAATCAGTTTCTGGCATTTAGAAAATATAAATAATTTAGGTAATTTTAAATAACCTAAAACAAGAGAAGTTTGGTCTGATTCAACTTAAGACAGTGAGAAAAGAAATGTGTGTATGTCTTTTTAATTGGTGAATGTATATTTCTGGTTTTAGTAGTAAGTGAAATACAGTGAACAGCCGGATGGACCAAGTTGGCAGCAGAAGGCAGCTGATGTCCAGCCTAGTGAGCCAACGTGTTCATTTGCTTTGACTCAATATCCTGAAATAACTAGTGACAAAACCAACATCTTATTTTAGGCAGAGGTCACAAGATATTTTAAAATTTTTGATGTTTAATAGGGTACACCATGCCATGCTCTATCACAAAGCTTCCATTGGGATATTTCAACATAAGTAAATAAAAGTACTCAAATAAAATATAGAATTTTTATTTTTTTACTTTTGGAAACTAAACCCTAAAACAAGTAGTCAAAAATACTTTTTTTTTTATTTCATTATTTTAATGTATGGAACGGTTTGTGATAGAACAGATAGAACATGTGTTTAAATTTAGATTAAATAAAGTTTACCATTTTGCTTGCATGTATTGAAAATGACTGAAAATGTTACTACTACCCTAAAAATTTCAAAGCTTAAAATTAATATTTGCTTTTAGCTTGCAAGTGAGCATGTTACAGCGTCTTTTGTACAAGGAAAGGCAGTTTAAATGTTTTAAATTAAGACTATAAAAGTGTGGAATGGGCATACATCATTTGCTATTCTCCTTCAATACAAACATGACCCTGCAGAGAGGAAAAGGCAGCAACTGGGAAATGCTAATATTTTCGCTTTGAAAACAGAATTTTAAATTAATCATTTGAAAGTTTACTTTTGCATTTCCTGTGTATTAGTGCTCCCCAGTGAGCAACCACATGGCTAATGGTTCCCTTACAAGGTCACTGTGTTAATGTGTGTGCTCAGAAACAGGTAGACTTGTTGTGGCTCATCGCCACAGCAGGTCTCTGCATGTGGATTTAAGCACACAGTTCTCCCTTAACGCACTTCGTTACAATCACTCAGTCACATCAAAACCCTTAATCAAAATAAACAATGTTTCTACTGAGGCACATTAGGGTGATACTTCTAACGGAAAGGCAATTTTATCATGTGGCTGGTGTGAAACAATCTGTCAGTGTTGATGAACGGCTCATATACAGCCTGAGTGAAAGATACAATGCATATTCTCTAATGTATAATTGTAAAGGCAGCCACTTTGGATTTTCAATCCTACCCAAATTCTATGTAAATGTGTAGAAAATAACAGAATAAATTAAATAATTGGGTCTTTATTTTAGATATCCTTTAATATTGGCAAATAATTACTTTCTACTTTCCTTCAAAAAAGCTCTAGCTACATTCTTACTGGTGACTGCACAGAACCGCTGAACTTGAACACGCCGTCTTGTCCTCAGGTGTTAATGATAATGGACATACAGCATATTAGGCTGTCACCTATGTATAGAAGAACCATAGAATATCACTTACTTTCCGGCTGCCATCAGGAGTTTTGTAAGTGAGCATGTAGTTGTCTATTTCTGCAATTGGCGGCTGCCAGGAAATGAGACCGCTGCGGTGGTTCACTTCACTGGCCGTCAGGTTCACAGGTGCATCCATGGCTGCCAAAAGCAGAGGAAGCAAATGGCTTTACATTCGAGGAATAGTTCATGAAGGAAAAGTCATATTAGCACTTTTTGTAAAGACAGGAGTAAAAATATGCTTACAACTTTTAAAACACTTGAGAAGTGCAGTTCAGACATGCTAAAATGATTATGTGAAAAGGTTAACGTTCCTCCGTTTCAGATTCTTTATTCTTTATAGGGGCAAAATGCTTAAAACTTAATGCTGAAACCCATAACGTGTTGGAGAAAATGTCAACATGTTATTGAGCTACTGAACATTCGAATCCCCCTGATAAAATTTAAAGATAAATACCTAACACATTAAAATAAGCTGGTTTAATGGTCCACTCAAAAAGGTTACAAACCATAGTTTCTGCATAATAATAATAATTTAAAAAAAATCATGTCACATTCAGCTAATGAAGCCAATTATGTCGGATTTAAATTTTGACATATAAACAAGGTCTCACTGTTTGTTTGCTTTTTGATAAAGCACTCCTCCATGTCGGAGTGCTTTTACATGTAGCCTTATGTGGATATGAAACTCAGCTATTGTGAATTAACCATTTCAAATCGTGCAAGGCCATCATGGCCCTATTATAGGTATATCAATTGTGTATTTAAATGTCTAAATAGGAAGAAAGTAATTATTTTAAAAAGATGAAAACATTTTCCAACCTATTAGTTTAGGAAATAAAAACCAAACATTATTTGAGACAACCTAATGGACAAAAAACTGAACATGTTTAGCTGGATGTCAGACAGTAAGAGGAAAAAACAACAAAACGTATCTTTTTATAAATTGTATGTGAATATCTAATTTCAACTGTATATATTACACCTTACAACAAACACTGACAATGAAAATATTCCGTAATGAGATTTATTTTTTTTTTTTTTTACTTTGTCGTGATAGTAGCGATGAAAGCAAAAATACTCATGAATGAAGCATGTCTTTCTCAAAACAGAAAAAGAAGAAAAAAGGTGACAACATGAACAACCACACTGCAGGGCAACTTCAAGAGAAGCAAAATCACCATGTCAGTAATCTTAAAACCCCACAGGAACTTGTACAAACAGCAGCAAGGCACTTTTCTGTTTTACCAGAGACAAATCATAGCCTCCCAAGCATCCGAGCCGTTAATAAGAAAGCCCACCAAAGTTTTACTGCATGTTACATCACGCAATTCGTGTATAATTTCTTTGTCCCTATACACTTTGGAACAAGCCCTGATTACAGAGCCTTTGTTGGTACTTAAACCACATAAAAAAGCAAGCTCGCATCAATTTCCCCACCTTACATCACCCTGCAAGAGTCAACGTGAGATATACCGGCACAGCACCGAAAGCATTGACAAGCTGTAACTGCATTTTATTGTATGACAAAAAAAAAAAAAAAAAAAAAAATTAAATGACCTTCTATACACAAAATCTGTTTCCTGGAGTTACATCATGACTCTAGGGCGCATCATCAGTAAGTCACCCGAAAGAGCTCAGTCTGAGGAGGAAGGGGCATCAATACAAATAAAATGCAGAGGTGAAAATGTAGTGAAGATATTATATACATTGCTGTCCCTTTCTTAAACACACCTTCTGGGTTTTGATGTTTGCTTTCGTCTCCTTCATTCACTGTTTAGTAACACAGACTGTGGCTTCTATATTTAGTACCTCCTCTGTAAGAACAGGAGAATTACACTTTAGTTTAAAGACTGACCTAAAATCAAACCTGTACACCTCATTAAAGAGTATAAACACAAAGGAAATTCACACCATTGGAAGCACCACCTTTTGGTGAATTAAGTACTGAGGTGAGTACACACTGCTGCTGTGATCAATGACAGCTCTGTAATTAACAGCATGGACCAACGCTGATAACTTCCATATGGATGCGGAACGTATTTTCTCAACTGTAATGAAAGGCAGCTGTGAAAACTGTGTAAAGATTAAGTGAGAAAGAGAAAACAAAAGGTGTTTTAGGTGCGATGGGGATCAGATAAAGCAGCAACCTGCACACTGTGTTAAAGTTTGTTCTGTCTTTTCCTCTCCGTCACATCTTTAAGGAACTGGAGTAAAAGTACACTTTCTTTCTCTTTCAGCCTGTAGATCTTCCTCATCTTTCTCTTTCTACCCTCTTTTGTGTTTGTTTCTTTGTCGTAACCTAATCCTCTGTTGGTAGAGTAGTTTATAATGTTGCCTCATTAAATGTTCCTACCCAGGCCAACATTTTTCTTCAGCAAAACAAACAAACAAAAAGAAATAATGTTTCAGTCACACCTCCAGTTCACATTCAAACAGCTTTGCAGTCCAAATATTTGGCCGGCCCACTGGGAAATGTATCAGCTCTGCCAATTAGCCAATCCAGGCCTGGTTCAAAGCTGCAGTACTTAACAGTCATAAAGTTGTATTTTTGTTACAACTATCACTATGTCCTTACAGTAAGATATGAGGTAGACAATCTTTGAAAAAAATAAAAATAAAAAAAATCAAGCTCCTGTGGCTCCTCGGTCCTACTGCCATTTGCAAAAATACTCTACTGAGTCAGGATGTCAATCATGCTCGAGTAAATGCTGCTGTTGCCCTTCCCCCACACAGCACATACCGTTCTTCAAGCTCAAGAGTGCGGGTGAGTTTTTGCTGTGCTAATGGTTTAGAAACAACATTACGGGAAAACAAACAATTTCTCAAGTTCTTTGCAGGTTCGGTGGTGAAGGAGCAGCTTTTGAGGGAGAGCTGTAGCAGAGCAGAGAGGATGCATGGAGAAGGGACAGATAGGGCGTGCTAGTTCACATTTTAATACTTAGTCCACAGTGTTTTCAGAACTCCCTGCTGCGGCTTTTAGAACCACAGTTCTAGTCTATCGTGGCCAACAGTGAAAAGACCCCATATGTTATTCTCATCAAACACTCGTGTTGATGAACACAGATGGTGAGGATTATGTGGACAACAGTCTCTATTCTTCCTTCCTCTTCATTCTCCAATTAAGTCTGGCACCTCTATTTCATTCGCCCACAATTAAACCTTTGCACAAAGCACAGGTGAGCAGGTGTCAACTCCGACACCGTCTTATTCAAGCATGAGATTTGAACAATAACACTGAGATGAATGGGTTTGGCTACATCGGATGATCCATTAAATACGCCAACAACATTAGAGGAAGAAAAAAAAAAACACAAATATAAAGCAGCAGATGGAAAAGCAGCTCTATTTGCAGTAAATTGCTGTAATGATATAAGATGGACAAAGATATATTTTTTTTAAGTGGCATCTCTGGGACCTCTTCTAAGTAAATGGAAATGTATTCACAATGTATACAAGATTAATTTACTTCCTGCAGGTAATTAAAGAAAATAAAATATGAATTAAAGCGATGAAAATACAGTGATGATGGATAACATGATACAAGCACTCTTGCAATCTGGCTACTTTGAAAAACTAATGAAAAACTAACCAAATATATAAGTAGTGTGGAAAAATATAGCAACAATGATTAGGCTGACTGAGCCCAGTACGTAATTTCTCAGAACTACCATCTACAAGTGATTGGAGACTGAGAAAACACGTTACATTAATTACATTATCACCTGGAATCTGGCTGATTATTTCAAGAAAGTCTTTTTTTTTTTTCCAGCATGAAGTGTTGCTATGTCAGGAAAACAAGTGAAGTGAGACATAAAAACCTCGATTCATATTATGTACATGTATTTGTGGACAAGAACGTAAATTACTCCATCTATGTCTACCACTATGAGAAAAACTTGTTTCAGTGCATTAAGGTATATAGTTTCAAAAACAAAATGTAAGGCTGGAACTCTAATGTCTAAATTGAATTGATTATTTTGAGAAAACCAAAGCGTATAGTAACACGTTTAATTGCGCCAAGAGTGGAGCCAGCATGGTGATGGGAGGTTTTCATGAGGGAGTGTGCATTTGATTACTTGCTACCTAAATTTTATATGAACACATGCTGGTTAATCTAGTACAAAAGAGAAAAGATCAGATGCAAGTTCATGGGTTGCAGAAGGATCTGTGAGCTGCACCTCACCCTGGTGTGGTGATGGGAAATGATTAGAGCTGCATTGCTTTAATTATAGTTTTAATCAATCAATCAAATTTTATTTGCATAGCACATTTCAGCAGCAAGGCATTTCAAGGTGCTTTACATAATTAAAGAGAAAAAAGAACAGCATGACATTGAATAAACAGTAAGAAAGAGAAAGAGATTTTGGAAAAAGAAAAAAACGAAAAAGATTAAAAAAAAGAAAAGATAAAAACATACTTTTGTTACGGAATTTAAGCGCCTGTCGTTGCCGGACTCCGCCGTCCGTTTAACACGGGTATTATCCAGGCCCCGTCGCCTAACAGGACAAGGTCTCCAACCTCAGCAACAGGCTCCGTCCATTTAATGGAGCACCATTTCTTAGAGAAAAACGTAAAGGTATTTTTTTTTTTTTTTACTACAGAACTTTTACCTTTCAATCCTATTGCCAGAGAACATTTGTGGTGTCATGGTCTATCTAAGGTGTGCAGACTAACAGCTGAGCATCACAGCATATCCGTGTTGCCATGCCAGCATGATTTCAGTCCAGAACATTTCTTGTTCTTTCCTTATTTCAGCCTTTTGGTTATTGATCCAGTGTTTGGATTGGGTAGAAAGGCATTGTAGCAAAAATAAACTTCATGTAAAGGAGGCTAATTAATGTTTCTCCTAAAATGCTATGTTGAGTGTGCAATAGAAGAAGAAGAGAAAAAAAAAACACTGAATGAAAATATCTTAAAATATTAAGGATTCCTTGATATGAAGATTAAAGGCAGCCAGAATTGTCAGGTAGTTGAGGACAGGGTAGCATCATCATTGCCCAGTAGAGTTCAGCAGTGTAATGTGCATGTAAAAATGTAAGCGTTACACAGCTATGGATTTAACACTTGTGAATGTAGAACTGCTCGACAGGAAAACTGTTCCATAAAATATAGAATTATCTAAATATTTACCAATTTGTTTTATAATTTCAAGAAGTATGAACAGTAAAGCTGCTATAGTTAACATGTAGCATGACACTTTCATCTGAACTGTATCTGGATATTATTACTACATGAAACAAAGCCACACTGGTACATCATCATAATGCAAATTTTATTTGCTTCATTCAGTGATATACTAAAATTTATTTAAAAATCTGAAAAGAACCTTGCTAATTTAAACATTAGTTTATTTATTTATTTATTTATTTATTTATTTTTTAAAACTGCAGTTAACCTTTACCAACTAGTTACAAATAATTTAATTAATTTGACACATTTTTTATTGCATCCAAACACTGAACATGACTTGCTGGTGGCCCTCTGATAAGGTGCCTTTCACAGTCAAAGAACAAATTGATTTTTTGCTCTTCTTTCTCCATTTTGAGAACCACAGCAAATTTTGACACTCTTCTCGACAAGTTATTTTTAAGTGCCATTTGATCTCTTCACAGTACATGTCTCATCGATTCTTCTCCTGAGTTCTTCAACACTGGTTTTCCTAATAAAAATTTGGAAAAAAAAAACCTTCCCAATGAGCCCCCAGTTCAGAATTAAAAAAGGCTATTTTTTTTTTCCCATTGGTGAAAAGTGATTGCTTTGAAAAGTTATCCAGAACTTTATATGGATAGCATCTTCATCATCTGCATAATTTAGACTAAAGGAGACTACAGGGTATATTGGACAAACCGACTTCGCCTCATGGTGTTATTTCACCACCAACTACAAATGAGCACATCAGTAGAGGTGTGCAAGAAGTATCTAGAGGTATAATAATGACATGAATCTAGATAAGAAAAGAAAATCTAAGTTAAAATATGAACAACTGGAGCTGCAAGCAGTTTGAAAACTAGCAAAACTTTGTGTGAAGCTGAAAGCAAGCATGCAACTAGTCAGAAATGCACCCTTTGCCTGAAAATGTAAGATTGTGGTTATGTACTAGCAGCTCTTAACACTTGGTGTACAGCAATCCAGGAGGACTGTGGGAAGGTGCCCCAAGCAAGGATTATAGCTGCTTCATCGCCATACCAATAACTACTCAACAAGCTGACTGAGGCACATGAGAGAAAACGTCCTGCTACTCCAGTCAAAAATACTCCCCGAGACACCTGCAGCAAAGTCTGCTATTTTCCACCCTGAGAGCTTAAATATCAGCCTTCCGGGAGGCATGCTGTCTTACTCTATACTGAGCTCTTGAGGCGTACGGGCCAGACAACAAAACCACTCTCAGCTGTGTCTAAGAGGTTTGGGGATCTACAAAGAACTCCATCACTAATAAATAAATAAATAAAAGCGAAAGGGTGCGATTGGCCTTTTTTTTTTCCTCCACTTCTTTCTCTGCGACTTTGTGGAAATGTCACTTATTCCTAGGAGAAAATTTTAAAGTTTCACAAGTGAAACTTTTGCTGACCTTTTAGCTTGGGCAGCTATCACTGGCATTTGCAGAGATCTTTTAAATACATTGCACTGACCATGAGAAAATAACTTTGATTCGAGATCTCCTTCCCTGTAATAAATTATAACCAAGCAGGAGTAGATTTAATATTGAAATATAACTCCAGACAGACACAGCATCAAAGTTCAACGTATGGACTGGCATTTTATTAGTAATGGGATGCAACTAAAAACATAGAGATGGCCTGGCGGAAAAACAAGATATATAGACACCCTGTATATTTATAGTTACCTTCCAAATTTTGTTACATGTGCACATTGTATTGGTTGGTAAAGACGAAATTAAAAGACTCTAAGAAATATGAAAAAATAGATCCAGGAAGTGTTATTGACATGAATTGTCCAAACACGCTTAGTCACTTTTTCCTCACTAGGTGTTTTGAAGTTTTTTGCTATTTTACAAAAAACTTTCCAATTCATTAAAATATGGGGTATCTAACCATGCTCACACTGTGGCTGTTCCTCCAGGAGAAGATCTGTCGTCTTAGACATCTGGGACATTTTTAGGCAAAAATAATGCAGAATTCGCAAAAATTTGAAGATTTCCACATAAAAAAAAAATAAATAAAAAATGAAGATGGAACCCTAAGCAATGTATTTTGACAATTTATCAGCAAAAACAGATGATTAGGTTAGTGCACATAGAGGAAGTAATGATCTCTTTTACGATCACACGGTTACACATTTTCATTAACTTAGTTGAAACCATGTACATGATTTCTATTCATTACAATTATATAATTTTAGCTGAAAAATCATTTTAAGAAATGTGCAAACACACTCGCACAAAAGATTCAATTTAATGTGTCTTCCAGTCCCGTTTACTGCTGAATATGCACCAGGCTGACCTGATACTTTGTTCACATTATAACATAGTATAATAACCAAATTAATAACTAAAAGTCCATGCAGCCTTCCTAGAGCTTGTTTCTTATTAAAGAGGAAGCTACTGTTGCTCCATGAGGGATTAAAAACTCTCATGCTGGATGAATGTTTTGTTTTCCTCACAATAACTCAAGAAAAAGAAATGTTTTCAGAGCTACAGCTAGTAACAATTACTTTAATTGTATTCTGTCCCCAATAAGCTGGCAGATAAAGTTACGGATGCAAGTGAAAGAAGAAAAGTTTGAAGTGAAACTAGCTTTCAGAATGTGTCTCACCATGTCAACATGTTTGCTTTCAAGTCTACTGGAGTCATGATGCAACACTTGCCATATGTGGCTTGGTGTCGAGAATGGGAAAGTGATTGGAAAAAGCTGGACTGAAAAATACATGAAATTGGAATTTAGGTAGCAGCATAGCCTGAGTTCAACAAGGGCAGACCACCATGTTTGAAATGCTGTCATCGATCTTCTTAATATTTTTGTCAAATTCATATTTTTGTAAGACTTTTATCAGTCTTATTGATATTCATTTATTATATAAAACATTATTTTTTTTTACATTTAATAAATTATTTGTATTAAAATACAAATAATTTATTTTGTTATTTAACAGAAATGCAGTTTGGGTAAATCCCAACCTTCATCTAGTCCTAATGGTTGTTTGACTGTGACCTTCAGTCAAGTATGTCTAATTTTTAACTTTTTATTTTCTATAACAAATACCCTTTCCAATTAATGCCTTGCTTTAATAATTGTCTGCAAGCATTCACAGTGAAGATCTTCAGTCGATACTCTAGGTGTTTCTAGAGTCTATGTGTTACTCTTTCTGTGGTCTCTTTCTAAAGAAAACAGGGGTATTTGATAAAGTATAGAGAAAGATTTTCACCCAATGATCAAATATCATTTGCCAGCATCATCTTGCATGTCTTAATTGATTTTTTACCTTCTATTAAACTCCTTCATTTATTTATTTTTTAGCAGAAGAGTTTTTGACTGTGCCTCCTTATCATCCACAAGTAAACTTCTTATGATCCAACGCGGCAAACAACTTTTCACACTCTGTTGTTACATTGAGCTTTGCTCCCAGGTGGGATCTGAAACCAAACACCCCAGGCTGTTGGACAGACACATATTGCCTCCTATTATTCCTCAGAGCAATCCAAGCCAGACGCAAGAGACTTATTCAATATAGAGAGATTTAAAAAGCTGGATGTTCATCGTGTCTGTTGGCTGAGAGAATAGGACCCAGATAAGAAGTGATATCTCCATGGACTTTAGGTGAGAGAATTCTGTCACTCTGCTGACTGGGTCAGAAAGTGGATCGAAAGGATGTGGAGGAATGAACACCAAACCCTCTCAACTCCCTTCGATCCTCGTAAGAAGATTAGAAATCAGACAGAAAGTGCAGATTTTTTCATCCAATGCTAGATGGAAAAATTAATGAAGTCCAGAAAATCATTTGTGCTAAATTGACTTTTTTTTGTTGTACATTTGTCCTGTGTCCATCACAATATGCTCTAAAACAGGGATGCCAGTGGTGCAGTTGGTAGCACTGTTGCTTTGCAGCAAGAAGGTCCTGTATCAAATTTCTGCATGGAGTCTGCATGTTCTCCCTGTGCATCTCTCCGTGTACTCCGGTGTCCTCCCACAGTCGACAAACATGAGTGTGATATCGATTGGTCTCTCTAATTGGTCTCTCTAATTTCTCCTTTGGTGTGGGTGTGAATGCATGGCTGTTTGTCCTGTCTTTCTCTGTGTTGTACTGCGATGGACTGGCAACCCCCGTCTCCCACCCATAGACCATTGGAGATAAATTCCAGCACCTCTCCAATCCCAGTAAAGATAAGCATGTAAAATAATGGATGGACAGACGCTCCAGTAGAAAAATATGTGGGAAGTATAGAAATTACTGCAGGCTTTGTTGGATTTTTTTCAACAAATAAAGTCGTATAAGCAGAAATAGATAATATCTTGATAGCTCAAAAAATGGTCAAAACTAATGCCTAGAAATTAAATAACAATTGAAGCCATATCAATAGATTCTCAGCTAGCCCCAAATGACAAAATATGAACATGTCTTCAGTCTAAAAAATGTGCAACTTTGGTTAAAAGTTGAAAAACTGTCCACATACCATCCATACTCACGAAGACCTTTGTCTAAAAAGAGTTAACATGTTGTTATGGTTCGATCAAATAAAACCAAAACTGAGGCTAAATCTGAGCAGGAAATATTATCTAAAAAATAATGTTGTTGTATGTCTTCTGAGACAATAAAAAAGAGTAGCTGACTTCTAAGAAACAAACAAACAAACAAACAAAAAAAACTAAAAAAGATTTCCATGAATGTCTAAAAAAAAAAAAAAAAAGTACTCATTCATGCAAAAAGTTTTCCTGTGAATTAAATTATGCACCCACTGAGAGCTTGTGCAAACAGTGTGAAACATCTCAATTTGACACAGAATGGACTGAATCAGAATGAGAGAGGGCGTCCCACTGTGAGGCGCCACTGGTAACCACGGAGGCAGAGTGGAGCCGATTGTGCTGAGACCAGCTAAATAAATTTAACACATACGTGTCTGAAGGTTGGTGATCACAGTGCCACTTGTCAGGGGTCCTTTGGTGGCATACAGCGCCACTGAGTAGGTGGTGCTTGGCTTGAGGTTGGACAGCTGGTGCTCATGCTTGTTTCCTTCAACCAGGAAAGTGTCTGCTGTCACTAAAAAAAAAAAAAAAAGAGAGAGAAAAAAAATAAAACATAGCCAACAAGTACTTTTTTATTATCCTGAGTAAATTGTGAATTGGAAGAAATTGTTTTTGACTTTTTCTAAAAAAAAAAAAAAGGTGACAATAATTGCATATGTATCCCCACCACTTTGAATCAATACTTTGTTGCACAAGCATTTGCTGCCTTTACAGCAGCAAAAGTTGTCTTTTATGTCCAGAACTGTATGTCTACAAATTAACATATCTGTCCGTTCTTCTTTCCGAAATAACTCAAGTCTGATCAGAATCAATCAGCTGTGCATTTGTGACTAACATATAGAACGGGAAACATGTTTGGTCTTATCATTGGTCAAGCAGTACTTTAGTTTCTTATCACAACTGTAAGTGTTTTGTGAACTTAGACATTTGACAATGTATTTGTTTTGTTTAACTGAGTCTATAAAAAATCTTTAACAAAAAACAGTATGGTACTACAGCATTTTGTACAAGGTATTTGATGGACAACAAACTTCTCTATTTCTTATACCAATCTGATATGCAAGATCTTTCACTGCAAGAAAAATTGATGAAAACTTACATGCAATAAGCTTTCTTCTTTATAAGAGAATACATATTTCGCTTAATGGCACTCAAGTGCCTGAGAGTGACACAAAGTGATGGAGAGCACACCAGTTTTTGCTATTTATGTAGGTTTGCTTTTATGGATTTTATGTGGGTGTTCCTGCCGATTCAAATCTTTCTTGTAATGCAGTGCAATTTTCAGTGCAGTATTTATTTATTGATCTGGGTTGGCCATATTAACATTCAAGGGAATGTGTTGAAACCTTACTTTGCACTTTTACAAATCCTGGTTGATGCTTTTTTTTTTAAACAAATATCTGTTCAGCATACACATACTCTTATCTCATATCAGATACATTTCTTTGTCTAATATAATCTGGTTGCCTTCTAACCTACGAAGAAATTTATGTATCTATTCAGCCAAATGATGTAAAATTTAAAGGAGTAGCAATCCAAAGTGTCTCTGCAGTCACTTTTCCACCATATCGTGTAGAAATATTAAGAGAAGTCCCAAAAAGCATGTGTTAATTAGCTACTCAATCTGTGTTTTGCTTGCTTAAAAAGAACATCAACTCTTTCTGCTTTCGTATCACAGCATTAGTTCAAAAATGACCTGACTCTTCATTTCAAATCTGGACACAGAAGACAAGAACTGCATACAAAGTTCATGTTCTTTAACAACTGCATTGTTTGAACCAAGTTTAAATTAGCCATCAATCAAACAAAATGAGAAAAGGTCCTGCAGCTCTGCAATGTCTTAAAGGATCTCTAATCTCAATGTCAATGTCAATACTGTACAATTAAAGAAAAATAAATATAAAAATAAGGTTTAAGTGAAATAAGACTATGCTCCAAAACTGTCATTATAACAAAAATCAAAGGCTGAAGGATAAAAAAATGGGTCTTGAGCAAAGATTTAAAAGCCTCTACCATCTCAGTCTTCTGCATATGAAATTCCAAAGTTTAGGAGCATAAATTGCAAAAGGACAATCACCTCTGAATTTTAACCCAGATCTCGGAGCATCAAAAAGAAACCGACTGGCAGACCAAATTCACTACAATGTGAGTGTTAAGATAATTGAGATGTGATGCAGCCAATCCGTTTAAAATTTTAAAAATAAGACAATCTTAAAATCAGTCCTAAAACCAACAGGAAGCAAACGAACCGAAATCTGAGATGTGTTCTCATTATCTAGTACCTGTTAAAAGGCGAGCTGCCACATTTTCCACAGTTTGTAGACGATGCAGAGATGATTTAACTAGTCCAGCATAGAAAGCATTACAATAATCCAACCTTTGGTCTTTTGTTGGGCGGTTTGACTTCAACTTAGCAATTTGTCTTAGAAAAAACAACGACAAGGCTGCATGTTTGTCTGCTACTGGAGCACTATCAAAAACAAAACCCATGATGGACATATTCTAGCCTTTCTGGCTTGGTTAACTTGTTCTTTTAACATTTCATGCAGTTGAGTTTAGTCTACAGAAACTCCAGTTGGGACAAGTTATCTTATTACTGTCAAGTAAAATGGATAGTAGAGACTGTTCCCAACTAGGAATGAAACAAAAAATCTGAATGGGACACCACTAATTACTGTATTTATATCAGTATTACAACATACATAATGTATGTGGTATTCTTGGAGCATTTCAAACATTTGAAGATCTGCTAATTAGAGGCTAAGATGGGAAATGAGGGCTGAGTTCTTTTTTTTAATTATGTGCGAAAAACATCTAGCTACGCATAAATCACACAAAACTAAATAAAACATCAATCACATGTGAGCTTGGAAAAGTTCTAAATTGATGTCTTGAACTTTGGCAGTCACACAAGAGACATCCCAAAAATTAAAAACCTTAAATAGATGCAAGTACGTCATGCAAGAGACAAAAGCTGTGGAATTGTTGCCTTTCAACGTCTATTAATTTATTAGTTTTAGGGAAAAACAGAGAGCAAACGAATAAAAGCAAGCGGATGACAACTCACGCTGGTTATGTGTGATGGTCAGCACGTAGTTGTCCACATTGGACAGGGGAGGGTTCCACCTCAGCAGGGCACCTTGTGGAGTGATGTTGAGGGCTGTCAATTCTGCAGGCATGTCCATGGCTATGCGTATACAAAAAAAAAAAAAAAAAAAAAAGAAAAATGGTCTTGAAACTGTGGAGGGTTTTTTTATGCAAAGAGAGTAAAAGGGGAACAATTTTGGAATAAAAGAAGGTTAAAGATTTGGTATAAAAATGACTATGATGAAAAATGGAAGTCACATGAACATTACCTTGCACAGATTTATGCCTGCTGCCTATCACATTGCACAGACCCTAGCCGAATGAAAATATTTTATTCAATGAGTCTGTAGCAAAAGAAACTCTCTTTGAAATTCAAATATAATATAGGAAAACTCAAATATTCTCCTGAGCCTTCTGTTTCCCCAGCCTCTTTTTAATTCGTCTCTCAGACTGCTGGACATGCCACAATTGAGTTTGAATTTAATTATACCTTTAACCCGAGTGTTTCAACCCCAATTTCCCCTCAGGCAAGTTATTTTGGCAAGGCAGAGAGTGAGGCAGGTAGATGTGGAAATCTGAGTGAGAGCCAAGCTTCTGGACATATCAGATGATTGATACAAGCCTTATTAAAGCAGAAAAAATGGAATTGCTCTTATTTGCACACTAAAGTGTCGCACAGTTCCTTGTTTTGTTGCTTGAATAGGTGAACTAATCTCACAACAATTACATCAACTACAAAAAAAGTCAGAAAAATTAGTGCAAACCTCTCAAACTAATTTCCTAATATTAATAGGATTCATATCTCTCCATGTTTTGAGGCTTTAAACCTTTGCATGCTATTCTGTATGGCGTAGGAATATTTTAAATCACACCTATTATCAAAACCGATACTTTGGAGTTTGTAATATCTCGCTGCTGTGGATCTGCATCTTTAAAATCTGAAGATTACTTACTTAGATTTATTTACAGCTATACTAACAAATAAATAAGCAAACAAGTAGTGTAACAGTGTTGCAACCAATGGTGCCTAATCTCATGCTATGCTAAGCAGACATTCTGTCTGCACTAATGAAGATTTATTGATTTCCATAAACCAAATGGTAGCTGTTGCTGACTCTACAGCCTGGTGCTGTTGGGGGAGTGGGCCCTATTTATAATATTTTTTGGTTGTAACTTTGGGCACTCATTCACTGTGTAGAGCATTATACTTTCAGCACAGGATGGTCAGCCGATGTATCGAAGAAATAATTCTTGGGATGTTGACAACAGATGCCACATTATAGTTTAGTTTTCAACTAGGCCAGGTGATTAAAGGTTCAAACCCAAGGCTTCTAACGTTAAAAGGATGGTGTGATATGTAGCTGTATTTACTGAAGGAAAAACAAGTGGCTCTATACTTGGGTTTTGAAGAAAAAAACCCTCATTGAAGATCCAAAATGTCAAGTTCAACAGCTTAAATAAAAATGTTTGCATTTGTAATCAGTTTCAATCCATATTTTATTTAGAAACCGACACTAAATATATATATTTAGCTATAAAAAAAGAATATGATACACAAGTAGCCATTGTAAGGTTTGCATATATATATATATATATATATATATATATATATATATATATATATATATATATATATATATATATATATATATATTTTTTTTTTTTTTTTTAACAATCGCTCCTCTCTGCATCGCCTCTTTTTAATGAAACAAAAAAGTGATTTATCACTATGTGAACATGTACTCCATGTTAATCCCTGAGCCATACGGGGTGTTTGTGGTATCAACCTAACACTCCTACCATGAAAAGTCAAATATTTGTACCTGCTGCAGCAGCCATGTTTACCCTGTATATGAGCTGCGCCGTGGGGAGTTGCAGGGAAACCTGCTGATTTAGGATATTTTATGGTAAATACACTGCATGTGGAAGTAAAATGCTTGCTAATAGATCAATGTGAAATGTGAGACATGATCTGTTATTACAGCAGATTTCTCTGTTCCGCCCTGGTGTAGAGCCAATTGAGCTTAAAGCATTTTTTAACTGCACAATTATTATGCTGATTATCAGCAGATAATTATTACCCCACCATGACATTAATTTAAGTATCGCCTAAAAGCCTGGGATTATTATAAAATCTTACAGTGTGACTGACATGACTGTTATTTTGTTAAATACTATTCTGATGATTATAGAGCACTTAAAAAAAATACAACATGTCCCATCCTTAATTATATGTTGGAGTGCTCTAGCTAAGGATGACAGCTTTCACTGGGCCTGCAACACACGAGGGACACAAATGACCTGAAATAAGCTTTGCTGCTTTCTACCAAAAACAAAAAAGTAAAAATGTTTCTGCTATCTTTTCTTCAGTATTTTCTCACTTGCGTTCAAATGTTGTTTTGTATGTTGCATTTGTCCGGTTCTCTTTATGTCACAATATATATTGTCCATGTGATTTAGATTGTAGTAGTTGTAAAAGTTGTACACTAAAGTTTTATAAAGCAATGTTAACACTAAAATCCCTCAGGGTTATGTAAACGATTATGTATGCCTACAATCCCTTTGTACAATAATATAAGATATTGCACATTATGCCGTCATGTAGCTATTTGTTCATTAAGGTAACTACGACGTTGCACAAACACATCATGGCGATATTGACTAACAATATAACCATTATGACCAAAATAACAATAAGTACCATTATGATGCTAAATGCTGTCAATAACAATCACATGAAGCGGCAATGACTCTTAAGTAAAATTGAGTGCATTCGATATAAAATCACCAATATATCTATATAATTTGCAACAGATGAACAGCTGCGTAGTGATGCTTATTGAACACCACAGTAAATGTTTTGTGTTTAATACTAAATACTACCAATATTTTCCAACAGTGTTTAGCCTGTTCAGTCACTTCGTTCTGTTTTAATTGGGTTGTAAATCAAAAATCTAATCTTTGCATTGCCTTCTGATATTATTTGGCTATATTTCAGTAATAATTGTTCAGTATTTTACATACACAACGTGAAAAAGTGCCAGAAGTCAAAGTTATTTAAAATAAATTGTTCCTGACATTCAACTACTTTTCTGTGAGTACATTAGAAATTGGTTCAAACAGCGAAGCCTTTTTAAGTATCTTGTCATTGAAAGGGTCTTCTGACATCGAGTTAAAATAAACCTTTCAGGTGGTTTTTAGAAGAACTAGAATCTCAGCAGGTCTAGTGAAATAAAAAAAAAAAAATACTTTTACTTTGCTGGTTAAAAAGGTGGCTGATTAAGATGTTTGAGTTGTGAAAAGTGAGAGGTCTTCACACTGCGAGTACAGTTATAATCCCTTTAAACAAATTGCTACATTGTCTATGTTTAATGTCAGGAGTTTCATGTTAGATTAAAAGAACCTGCCGTTTTAGCAAAACAAAGAGTGGCTGGCTGCTATTTTCAACCTTTTCCACAATAATTGATTATGAAGGCGAGTTATGTTGAAACTGCTGTGATTTTCAAGTCATTAAATACTCGGCTGGGGTAAGGCTGGATTACTCCTCCAATCCCCTGTTAATGTATTGTTGTGGAGAGCAAAATTGTCCCCAGTTGAACCTTGTGCTATGTGAAGAAAATGTTATTTACCACTTCTAACAAACTTGACTTTAGAGTTATGTTCTTTTCAGGCAAGTCCCAACGACTCTGCTCAATGCAAGCATACTGGAATTATTGAAAGAATTAGTTGATAGAAATGTATCTGAGTGCTGGAAATGTTCCTTCATCAAACAGTATATGTTATCAAGCAACAATGAGCCACTGTGCTATTCTTTGGTTTCGAGAATAGCTTTACAAAGGCAAATAGGATGTCCTTTGTTCTTCTGATTTGTGACTAACACCTCATTTCAAAGCGAAAAACCTTCACATGTACAAAAGAGAAAAAAAAATAGTACAGCAAGACCCAGACAAGGTAGGATTAAGAAAAGAGAGAAGGAAATAAATAGGAAACATAAGACAGAGAGATGAAGGAAGAGGGAAAAAGGCAGAGACAGACAGTTATACCGGAAGATCGAAGAGAGTAAAATGGATAAAGAGATAAGTGAGGAGAGAAAGCAGCAAGAGTGATGGCTCAGAGTGAGATGGAGCTGGGAGGTGGTAACCAATTACAGAATCGTGGTATGGACACTTTCATCTGTTGCTCCAGGAAAGAGTTCTACAGTGTCAGCTGTATCTTATATTTTATGTGACATCTTTGTGCAAACTCTTGCATGAAACCCAGTTGCACAGGACAAATTGGTCTGATGGTCCAGCAAAGAATGAAATCCCAGATTATTCTTGCAAATTAAGTCACATTTGTTGTAGCTTGAAAATGGTCATAGTAATCAGAAAAGAAAATTACATATGAACATTTTTAAGTTTCTTATCTTAATCTTGTTTTAAGTGTTAAATCCTGAGATTTTTGAATTTATTACATATACTACCAAAACACTGCCATCCATCCATCCATCCATCCATCCATCCATCCATCCATCCATCCATCCATCCATCCATCCATCCATCCATCCATCCATCCATCCATCCATCTTCTGCCGCTTATCTGGGGTCGGGTCGCCTAATTAACACTGTTAATTATGGTTAATGGTTCATTTTGTCAAAAGTTTGTTCCGTTTCTCGTGATTTGTTTAAAAGTTTCCCGGAGTTACACAGTCTTAGCTCCACAATATATAAGACAATTACTCAAAAGCAGTGTTTGAGGCCTACTCTTCGATCCCTTTAATAAACATCACCATGAAGCATTTGTCTGCTGAGAGGCCAATTTGGCACCATAGACAGAATCACTCTGGTTTTTGAGCGACCTTCTGAGCACCACCTGGATTTACATGGAAGATGCATTAAGCAAGCACAAGAAACAATAAAGCATTTCAGAAAAAGAAATATTAAAATATAGATGCAGGCTAATGAAGGCTAATACAAGCAGATATTGAAAACAATTACTGATTTAAAATAAAAAAAAAAGAGTCAAGGTGCGTTTTCCTTTGCGCTACGGTTGACAGCAGGGTGGTGATGTTCTGAATCCTACACAGACATTAAAACACACACTAAAGCTACTCACTGTCAAAACAGCATATCAACATATCTGTAGCTATTAAGAACAACAGATACTGTAGTAAAACGAAAACAAAAATATTAAAAAAAAAACATATTGGTGAGTAAGTTAAGTGCTACATAATACCAAAGCTAATGTAATACGGCTAAACTGTTGTGGGTTATTTTACTGCCCTTTACAATCAGTGATTTTTCATGCATTTAGTCGCATTGATGGAGCCGATCAGCACATCCTCCCGTTTTACTCTGAAAAACTAAGACACATTTTCTGGCTCCTTTTAGAATGTTCTGTTTAAATAAATCTTATTAAAGAATGATGCGCTAAAAAAAAACAAAAAACAAAAAAAAAAACAGCACCGCCACTGTCTGTCCTGCGCACAGTGTTGTGGGTGATCTTATTGACTGTTAGCGGCTACCTGTGAAGACAGACGTGGTGACAGGTCTGCTCTCTTGACTCCCTCTGACAGCATTGAGGCTGATCTCGTACTCTGTGGCAGGAAACAGACTAGACAAGGTGTAGTTTGTCACATCGCTGTCGATCATCTCGCTGTCCACTCGACCTGAAGCAGGCACAAGAAATGACGAAATCTTAGGCCCCGCTGTTATCCCACATTTAATACACGGTGTACCGTGTAACCGGCTGCTATCTGGAATGAATTGCTGATCAGTATGGAATTTTAATTTAAAATTCAATTAAAGCCGACTGATAAAATGTCATGATTAATTGCTATAACACACTGTGTAACAGAGTGTGCCAGCACAAAATGTACCTTGTGTAAGAAAGCAAATGCCGTGTTAATTTAACTGTAGCTAGAAACACCACCGTGATTTCCATATATTAATATAGTGAATTTCATAAAATTAAAACCCGCTTAGTTCAAACAGCGTGATGAAACGTAACGCATGCTACCTCTGGCTGACTGGTAGGAGAGCTTATAATATTCAAAGGGAGCCAGTGGCTTGATCCAAGAGATGGTCACCAAATCCTCCGTCACATCTGAGACCGCCAGTTCCTTTGGAGGGTCCATTTCTAGGACAACAATTAGTAAAGAATTATTAACTACTCAAATTCACAATGCTCAACACATGGGAATAGAAGCTCAAAAATGATAGAATGGTATAAATGGCCCTTGTATGTTTGTTTTATTTGCTTATAAAACCATAAGTACAAAACAAAGATGGTAAATGACCTCTACTTGTATAGCACTTTGTCAAGTCCTGAGAACTCCAAAGCACTTTGCACTGCATTTACTCATTCACGCACACATTAAAACGCTGATGGTCCTCCTGGACAGTAGCCAGTACTGTCCAGTAGGAGGGCAACCTACTGGGTGAAGCATCTTGTCCAACTAAGACATAAAAAACTCTGGTTCAAACCAGCAACCCAACGGTTACAGGATAAACTCCTACCACTGTTGCCCCATTAAATGAAGATAAAAATGTCTGTGATAAAATGTAAAACAATGGCAAATAAAACACTAATCAAATAGATAATAAGTATTCAAAATATGGTAGAAATGTTTAGTAAATGAATAAAAATATTGCAAACTAATTATGAAACAATCAAAAGCCAGATTAAATAAAGCTTCACAAGAGCAATACTGGCTTATTTTGCTTTCAAAAGCAACATGTGAGAGCCGTAAAATGAAATGACGCCTCATTATAAGTTTTAGTTCTCACTTTGTTTTCAAACAGAAGAAAGAACAGAGCGTTCTGAAGGGTATGAATAAAGCAAAGACCAATAAAAAAAAAGAAAAAAAGCAGCAAAAGCACCTTAAGATCAAACTTAAAATGAACAATGCAATCTACTATGGTAGCTTGATGAAATAACTTTATAGAAATCTTCAAAGGTTGTTCTTAATTAACACATTGTTACACCTAATTTTCCCTTAATGGCAATGACACACAAAACACCTGGAGTGAACGGACTAATATACCAGAGAAATGCAATGATCAGAAGATTTCCTAAATAAATGATAGTGTGCATTCAATTGCATTTATTCTGCGAGTGTCTCCTGAAAGGGCTGATAAGTCCTTTTAAGTGCTACAAACTTACAGTAATATAATGATTTAGAAAATATTGTTTTGTTCAAAGATAGACAAAATGAAACTAAACTAAAAAATGTTCACTTCAGTAACAATATTTGTTGTAATTTGCAGTTACATGTAATTCTATATATTGTATGTTATTCTATATATTTGTATGGCGCTAATGCACATATTTTCTAATAGGTTTTAAACCCACCAGAGGAGAAAAAAAACTGTTCTGTCAGAGATATAATACTTTTCTATGTCCCGCAGGCGGATGACAGTAGTGTACAGACTGTGTAAGCTTACATCAAAGCACAGTTTGAAACTTGAACTGACCACTGTGGCAAAATGACTATCAAAGTCAGCTCGGCAAAATCGTCTGTTATAACTGTGGCTAAAACGTAAAGCCGAGCGGCATATTTTAAATATGGCAAATGAATCAAATGCGAAGCTAAAAAGGACAGCGGAGCCTCATAAACGCTCACATTCAAACAAGGCAGATCAAAGCGAGGCCCTGAAAAGAGAGGTGGATGAAATACTATGCATCCGTCTCCAAATCCCCATCCAATTTCATCCTCGAAAATGTGCTTTTAATGTGTAGGTTAATCAGAAAAGGAGAGCAAGAGACACAGCCCAAAAGCTGCTGAACTGTTTTTGTTTAAATCTGAGCCTCCGGTAAAGGTTAAAATACTCATTTTTGTGCTTGTAGGCCTTCCTATTCATTCAAATACCTCCCTTCTTACGACAAATTTCTCCTTGGGGAAAAAAATGAAATGAAAAAAATTTAGAAAACACCTAAATGTTTTTAAATGAATACAACTCTGACCCTCCTCTTAGTAATTTATCCACTCAAACATGAATACTAAACTTTAAATGGCATGTCGCCATCAAACTGATTCAGATGAAATATGGAAAAAAATAAATCCTGGGAAATATTTCACGAGATAAAATAAACTAATTTGTGAAAGTTAAAGTGTTTTAGTTAAGTAGAAGAGAATTTAGGTGGGACTTCAGAGTTAATGCATAGAGAAAATAATAATAATAATAATAATAATAATAATAATAATAATAATAATAATAATAATAATAATAATAATAATAAAAATAAGCAGACAATTCTTGCTAAACCAAATGTGAGCCATGTTGTCCTGTTGCTTGTTCTTTAAGTCTTCTTTCAGGACTATAATGTGTCACCAGTTTTTGCACAAAATTCTTCTGGCAGAAAAGTTCTTCAATTCAGAACAAACACTAAATCATTAGTCAGAGTTCCAGTTGAATACTTTGACTGTGGGGAGTATCAGCCATCTGATTTCCTAGGAGAACAAAAAAGCCTCTTACTTTTTTGCCTCCAACAAAAAAAAAAAAAAGTCTTCCTTCTACAGCTCTGCAAAAAAGCCGAAAAAACGTTTTTTGCAAATATGCTAATTTGATATCCCTTTTTAATTTAATTTTGCCAGCTTTTTTCACCCTCTTTATCACCCATTCAGACATCCACACATTAATGTCTCCTTTTAAAAAACACCTTATTCCCATTCTTTTTTTTGTTGTTTATTTTCTTGAGGCACTCCATTCCCAATTATTCCACCAAATTTCCATGAAAGGTGTGCAGTAATTTCACACATGCCCTAGTAATAAAATTGTCCATCATTTACATTTTTGAAAAATTGCTTAAAAAATGGAAGACATTGATTTTCATAACTTCTGATTTAAAAAAAAATATATATATATATTCTGAGAAGCTGTTGCTTTGTATTAGGTGAAGTTAAGTGAGTGTAGTAATTTGGATTTTCCCTGGATTAAGAGTGTTATTTCGGAAAAAAAAAAAAAAGTTTCATGAAAGAAACACTTTACAAGCAATTATTAAAATAAGCTGCCGATTCCGTTTTGCTTTGAAAAAGTCACAAACGCTGAAAACTGTATGCATCCATGGCACACACAGCACATTTCAGACTGAGCAGCTCACCTGTCCTGAGGGATGCCGTAAGGGGCTCAGAGGTAACATCCCCTTGTATTGTGATTAAACTGAACGTGTAGTGAGTGGACGGCAGCAGGCCCTGGACCAGTGACCTCGTCTTGGAGCCATCTAGTGTCACCTTAGAAGTGTCTGTCCCGTCAGCAGAGCTGTAGCTCAGAATGAAGAGGTCAGCGGGTGGCGCTGGGGCACTCCATGCCACCAACACTGAATCTGACGTCCCTTCCGACAGGTAAAGGTGGGTTACAGGCCTGATCCCTGGAGGAACGGGGGTTTAGAAGTCACTCGGTAGCGTTCAAGAACAGGTTAAAATTCCAGCGGCGAATGAGAGGCGGTAAGGGACAAACAGTCGCAAGATGAATGGAAATGATGGATGGGAGCGCTCTAGGATGGTGTAATAGATTCCTTATAATAAAGTTGAGAAGATTAGACTTGATGAACAAGGTGAGTCAGAGCAAACCACAGTCATGTGGCAATAATGATTTAATTGGTCATGAAATGGAGAAACTAATGAGATTACCCGCAATAATGATGAAGATGTGACGAAACTGTGAAAGCATGATAACAGCAGATGCTGCCGTCATGTTGTCCGACCCAAACGGGAGCTAATGTAATATATATATGAATCTCCTCCAAACACAACAAGAGGCTCATTTGATTAGCCACGTGTGGATTCATACGGCAGGAGAAATATAGCAACAATAACTCTTCCTCAACTGATTAATCCAGATGAAACGCGTACTGAACAGATCTTTTGCCGTCAATCGTTGCATTAAAGCTGCATTATTATTACTACTATTACAATTATTACAATTATTACTGACCTACATCCACAAATGTCGGTTTGAGCCGCCAGCTTTTGTCTTTCACGGACTGCAGTGATAATTTACTTCAATGCTGTCAGCAGAAATGTGTGTGCCACGCAGACTTCTTTGTCCTACTTAATGATGAGCCCCAGTTGTCCTTCTTTAGAGTAGCAGGAAAAAGTTAGGAAGCAAAAAGTGCTATCCGAAGAAATATTTTGTTGAAGTTATTTCTTTAGAATAAACTTAAATATTGCAAAAAGAATGACCGTGGTTATGATGAAATGTGCTGTATTTTATATATATATATATATATATATTTTTTTTTTTTTTAATTGAGATGACAGTAAACCAATCAGAGAGTTGATACAAACTGCCTAGCATTTAAACACATGTTGTCGGTTTTTAATTCAGTAGTGTTTTATCATTTTTTTTCCTAAAATCTGGACGCAAACAAACTAGCCTTTGAAAGAAACTCCTGCATAATTGAGTGAACCTAACAATATCTTTCAAAAGTAATAATTAATTAGTTAAATAATCCCTGGTTAATGTGGTGAAACATTATCAATAGTTGATTAAAAGAGTGGTAAAGGTGGTGTTGATCTACAGACGGCCCCCGACATATTTCATTGGTTTTGCTATCACAGGTTTCCCTGAGTGCAAACAGTTTCTGCCAATAGGCCAAGCGGTGAATGAAAAGATGACGGACACGTCAATAGTTTTCCCCTGAATTTTTTGATCCGTCATTTTATCTTGTCCTTATCTCTTGGCGGGTGGTTAAATTGAAGTTACCCAAGAAGCCATGGTAAGAAGAACAGAAAGACGATGAGGGTGATGGTAATGATGATGATGTAGTGATAGCGACAACTGCCAGTCTGCCACGACGGTAGCAGTGAACAAGAAAGCAGATGATGAGGGTGATGATAATGACAGCAGAGAAGACAGTGGTGCCCGTCATTTGGACATCATCCTTTGTGTAAGCAAAGACCACATCAAGCTTTTTACAAAAGTAACAAAGAGCCTACAGAAGAATGACAGATAATCTGACATGTGCTCTGATGGACAGACTTTGTGACAAAAAAAGAAAAAAAGAGGAAACTGACTGAATGCAAAGAAATGACATCAGGCTTAGAAACAAGACGACAGTGTGGAAAGGCAACCATGAGAACGCTGTGCTGCACAGAATCCAGCAAAAACAAAGTCAAATACATTTAGATGCAAAACAGAGGCGTAGTAAGGAAACACTTGTAACAACCTCATTAACTGACTTGAATAATTTATCTCTGCTAATTGCTTCTTCAAAGCCTTTAAGGTCCTCTGTTTTCTTTTAACATGGCGCACCTTACCTGCAGCCACACTTTAGTTCATTATAGTCACAGTTTGCTTGATTATGCAGCAGCATCTTTAGACCAGTCTCTAGCTTCTGTAGTAATTGGCTGATCTTTCATGTCTCTGTCTATGCACAGACTCTTGGGAATTCATTTATCTCATGTATTTTTGTTGATTGAGAGACTTAAAGTGATACTGGCAAGAAAAGTTTCAGTAAAACTGCAAAAAAAAAAAAAAAAAAATCATTTTTTATTTATCAATAAAAAGAAAAAAATCCATCGACTCTTATTAAATCGCATTGCTACTCTTGCTTCTTCCAAAGGTATGCATTAGATGTGTAAATACAAAACTGACATTTCTCTTTACCTGTAAAGGCATCGATGGTTGCTGCAGTGCTCTGCTGCCTCCCTCTTCTCGCTGCTACCGTGACTGTATATTCAGTTCCAGGGTCAAGGTCTGTCAGAGTCGTGGTGGTTATGTCTTTAGGAACTGTCAGCTGGAACAGAAAGAATAAGACACGCAAGTTCAAATTGATAGCGACTGCACACTACAGGTTATCCAAAATGGTTCAGAGCCTTGTAAGATCTTAATCAACAGTGTGGAGGGTGGATCCCTGTAATGTATGAACTTCATCCCTGGGTGACGGTAAACCGGCTCATATTTGTTGTGTTTATTACCTCAGTTGTGATACCAGAGGAAGATGTGTAGGTGACCCTGTAGTGGTCAATTGGACCCTGGACTACACCCCACACCAGAGTGATGGAGTTGTCAGTAGAAGCTGTCACAGTTAAATCCATGGGTACATCCAGGCCTGCAACACCAGAGGGCAAACATAACTTTATTACATTCAGCAGGACTGTGAAATAACTTTAGCTGGACAGACCTGAGACTGGATTTTTTTGCATGACACTATTATTCTAAAAACTTTTATTTTTTTTCTTTTTTCAAATGCATATCACAAGGACAAAGTATCTCCAGTATCACCGCAATTTATCTTTCATATATTTCCTTTACTAGCTTAAGTAGCAGATAGATAATGGAAAAATGTTTATTCAGTTACTAGATTAATCATTAGAATAACGGAAATAAATTACTAGTTTACTAAAATAATAGCTTACAACAGTCCTTAAAGCTAACTAACTTTATTCATTACATTTTCACAGTTTTCTTACAGCTCTGACATAAGAAATGGCAGGAACAATAAATACCCTTTAGAGTGTAAGGGCAGGGTATTAATAGCTTTAAAGCCAATGTTAAGTTACACTTTGTCTGCAGCTACCTCATCAGATATTAAGAATTAAAATTAAGACAGAAAAAACTTCAAGAGAAACTGAAGGTGATAAAAAAAACAATTCCTGAATGACCTATGTGATTATATAATAAATACATCGAGCCAGAGATTCATAAGTAGTTGCTGTAATCTAACTATTACAGGGGGTTTGTCCGTGGCAGAACCTTCAAAACAATCAAAAGGATGACTTTACATAAACCATAGAAATACAATTAGCTGTTAAAAAGAACAAAACTATGCAGTTTGAAAGAGTAGCGAGGCATCCACGCTGACATTTCAAACAGGTGAAGGTTGAATCAAGTTTTTTTTTTTTTTTAATACTCAGTCAAACGGCTCAAGGCACAATAAAAATTCTAATGGCCTTTGGGTTGCGGAGATAAAGAGAGAGGGCCATTAGCTAAATAGCATGGATGATTACAGATTTAAAATGCTGCAATGGGAACTTTGATCCAACACAGATAAAATGAAATTGCTAAATGCCTCTATAAAAAAAATAAAATAAAAAAAAAAGCAAAGAAAAAATCTTATTCGCCTGGCATTTTCAAGCGACTTATATTGGGTGAAACATGAGCGCTCCCCGCAAAGTGAGCGGTGACTTGCTATGCTGACATTTCCAAACAGCATTTCCTGTACTCTAAACATGCGGAAGCTAAACTTTGTTTTCATTCACTGAATCATGAAGTGTTACCTGTCCTGGCATTCATCGTTGCTGGTGTACTCTGGTTGATACCCTTCATGGCAGAGATGCCAATGCCGTACTCCGTCCCCGGCAGAAGGTCTGATGCACAGAGACAGAGAGAGACGCAGCAATTCAACGAGCAATACGTCAAACTCCAGGAGACACTTTCACACTCTCCTCTTCACAGGCACTTAGAAAATGAAGTTTTCCATCACAGCTCTGAAAGATAAACAAAGGTTATGAGGACGTTTGCATGAACACAGGAGGGATTTTTAGAGAAATCAGTTTTTGTCAGCCGCATGATGATTGGAATCAAAGTCAAATGAGAAGGTGTCAAAGTCTTGAGTTGCAGAAATATAGATGAAGAGATGAGCAACGGAAAATAAAGAGGGTGGAAACAGGGACCTTTGCAGCATTAAGGCCTTTAACAAATGAAAAAAAAAAAATATTCCAGATGACCCATCTTTCCTTCAATGTGCCTGCAAGACAACAAGCGTATCGGGAGATACCATCAGTAGCCCATCAACCAAATGTTAGCTCTGGAGATAATCCTGCCATGTAAAACACAGTCACTCCCCAACGTCTTCAGTGCTCATTAGATGGACTGTGATAAGACTAACAGCATAACTAAAACTGAGAATTAAGCATGAGAGCCCTGAAGAGCTCAGTAATAAATAATATATGAAAGTTTTACAGCAGAAATTTAAAGAAGTTAAACCATAATTTCTTCTGCACTTACCTGTGAGATTGGTCTTAGTGGTGGCACCCTCGTTGCGTGGCACAATCACTTTATCATACTGATCTCCTGCTAAAGTGCTGTACACCACCTGATACCCCTCCACCTGTATTTGAACATTTAAACATTTGCAGAAACAAAAATCTGAATGTAACTTTTGGAAAATAAAGAGATGTTATGCTTCGTATCCTTTTATTCGTCAGCCTAAATCTCATGTGAACCTTTTTAACACATCTTAGTGTTATAATACATTATGGAAACAATGTTAAATTGGGAGTCAGTCAGCGTTTAAGTTTTCTTTAAAAAGTTTCATGTTGTGGTGGGATTTGGTGAGGTAGAAACTGCACAGGAATGGTTACTGATTGGCTTTATCCAGAGGTCTAAACTTTCTATTTTTAACCATACATTTATATTTTCACTTTTTCTGTTTGCTTGATTGGTTGGTTTGCTCTTTGTGATTAATGAGACTGAACGATATAAATGTGACTTTGATATAAAATGAAAAAAAATAAATAAATCCTTCAGTGATTGAATGAAGAATCATTACTATTTACATTTAAAGCACCCAGAAAAATCAGATTCAAAGATTTTCAGTGCCTTTTACCTCCAAAAGCAGATTTCATATGTTTTGGACATTATATTTCCAAAGTAGTCAGGTTAATTGGTCTCTCTAAATTCTCCCTAGGTGTGAGTGTGTGTGCATGGTTGTTTGTCCTGTGTGTCTCTGTGGTACCCTGCGACAGCCTGGCGACCTGTCCAGGGTGTAACCCGCCTTTTGCCCGGAACGTTAGCTGGAGATGGGCATCAGCAACCCTCCCGACCCCACTAAGGAACAAGGGTGTAAGAAAATGGACGGATGGATGGATGGATTTCCAAAGTAGATCTTTTTTAAGTGTGTTTAAGTGCATCACAATCTAGAGATTGTGAGCTTCTACATTGTATTTATCCTATGATTAGTACTAAGTTGGATTTACGAAGAACTAGAAGTGAATTTATATCTGTTGCATACCACTGATGGGGAGTGATGACATTTGATCAATAGTAATGTTTTCAGTTCCATAAAAGTTTGAGCATTAAGTCTAACTGATGGATTTGCAGGGTTTCCCCTAGTGTATTATAAGCCTGGCCCCCCGCCAGGCTAAGCTTGCTTATTTTTATTTTTAGAAAAATTAGTAATTCGGGGGAATCGCTTAATTTTTTTATTTTTTTTAAGATAAATCTTCAAGCCAGATTGCAAGCGTCTGTGTTCTGAGCGTTTCACTCGCGAAGCAGATTTATTTCTAAAAGGTTTATAGTTTATGCATTTAAAGCCGGAGAGCGGACCAATCACACAGCTGGCGCCTCTGCGGTTGCCTCGAGCTGCTGCTGCTTTATTAAGTTTACCTCCTTTCACTCAAACTGGACACAGGCTGACCTGTATGGACATAGTCCGGTATGGGTAGTTATTTTTCTTTGGAGAACTCTATATCAAGGTAAAAGTTTAAAACAAACCACATTAACTCTGGTTGTGCAGCTCTATGTGAACCGCAGGAATAACTTGTAGTCACGCGTCTGTTTGCAGCCATTTGCGCATTGAGCGAGTGGTGAGAATGATTTAACTTTGTGGACAGTATTATGTTTGGCTTTTACATCTCAACACGCAGCCCAGCGTGTGGCCTTGTCTTCCCTGTAAACTTTATGTCTATGGTCCCGGTTGGCCTGAGCGTTAGTGGTTAACGATGGTGAACGATGTTCATCATGCAGCTTCAGCCCGGTGAGGAGCTTTCACGCTCGCCTCGCGGTAACGCATCACGCTGGTTTTATATTATTTTATTATTAATTTTAGTATTATTTTTCCAGTTAAACGGTGCACCAAACCATATCAAATGCTTTGTCTACTTGGTCAGCCAGAGTTATTACGCACGGCTGCGTGGAGATCTGAGAAACTCGTCCCTCAAACTTGAGCAACCACAACAGTTTCTGTTTGAGACACGAAACAGATTATTTTATTATTGATGCATTTCCATTTTTTGAAAAGCACTTTGTTATTTTCATATCTGTGAAAGGTGCTACATATATAAAGTTTACTTACTTACTTACAATTTACGTACAATTTATGTATGCTGACACCATTAAATCAAATTTAGCAGCACTGATAATCTCAGTAAACAAATGCTACATTTATATATCTGTGGTCTGTATTAAAATATCAGCATTTATGGGGCCTTATTGAGCCACTGACTTATTTTGGATTAAACAGAAGTGCAAATAATTGATATTCATTTTAATTGTATTTTTTGATTAGTTGTTTTTAAGACTAGTTTTGGATTTAAATAGCGTCTCACTGACACTGATTTCCCATAACATATAATTCAATTACCCAGTAATATTTGTACTCTGTCTACTTAGCATCTTTAATACAAAAACACGGTGGACCGCCAGTGGACAACCTCAGTGCCCCGACCACCGGGCTTAGCAAGTTTTCTGGGGGAAACCCTGGATTTGTGTGACTTCAGTACATAATTCTACAGTCTGCATGACTACATTTAGTACATTTAGTTCAAATAATCTGTGGTGTCTCTACTTTAAAAGCAACTGTAAAGACAGCATTTTTCTTGAGTGACAGGGTGTTTATCTATTGACAGCTCAAATGCTCACTGCTGAGATCAACTTGTTTTTTTTTTTTCCCCCTGCAATCTAATAATAACCTTTCAGTCGGGAGCTCTAATCAGCATAATTTCATAAGCAAAACAGAGATTACAAAACTGACATTCAAAATAACTAAAACATCTTATCTTGAGATGAATCCCACAGCCATCAATCTCTTAAAGTGGTTGAAAGCAAATTGAGACAAATGGATTAAATCTGTCTCACGTCTCTTTACCTCAGCCTCACTGTTATCCCATTCAAGCTCGAGGGTAGTCGAGGTCTTGGACACGAGCCGTAAGTTCTTGGGGGCATCGATCTCTGAGAAGAATGATAAAGCTGACAATGTTGGGGACACAAAGACCAATTCTCAGAAATTGCGAGCAAGCAAATATATCAGCAGTTTTTTTTTTTAAAGCACCAGAAACCACTAAAAAAAAGGGTAAATTTATCATATGTAGTCTTTATGTCAGGCTGCTACTTTAGCTCTTCTCACATTTCCTGATCAATGCAGATTGAATGTTAAACCGTAGCTGAACATAATACACTCAAATGATTTCAATAGATTTTTCTGTTGAAGTTTGTGCTTTTCTATGCAACCTTTAGCAAAATAAAAGCTCCTTTGTGTAATGCAGATAAATAATATGGCATGCATTATAGGCCATTATACCATTTCTCCTGGATTCACACATGCAGGTAAACTATCACTACATCTGGTTGCTGTCAGACCTCACCGGTTGTAAATTCAGTAGAGATAGAGCCGCTTTCATTTCCTTTCCTAACTCCGCTTACAGACACCTCATACCGTGAACCAGGACGCAGAACCTGCACAGGAGGAAAAAAAAAACAAAAACACAGCTATTTATACTGGTATAATATTTCTTTCTTGCCATTGGTTTATCTCCTGACACAGGTGGCAATGCAACCCTTTTATTAGATAATTTATGCATATCAGAGGAAACAATAACTCTGAGCATGAAGCAAAGATAAAGAGACATCCCTTGAGAACTTAGCTCTTTCCATAAGTGATATAAATGACAGCTGAGTCCCCTCATATGTTAGAATATGATCAGATCTGTGATGATTCATACAACACACAAATGTGCACCTGTAACGAGTACTGGGTAAGTGTGGGCTGGAGTCTAAAGGTGGTCCGCGGGCCCTCTCCTCTCACAAGGCCGTAACGCAACACAATCTGATCGATCTTTGCTTTTGGTGGTGTCCACTCCACAAAGGCTACGGTGTCCGACACGTCACGCACAATCAGCTGAGTCGGACCATCAATCACTGCAAAAAAGCAACAAAAAAACAAAAAAAAAAACAAAAGAGGCATCATGTTGTCAACCTGAACAATGGTTGTTTGCTGACTGTTATCAACTGTGAGAAACACACACACAAAAATAAATATATATATATATATATATATATATATATATATATATTTTTTTTTTTTCTGCTGTTATTACTGATTTAAAATGTGCAGCAGCCATGTTGAATTTTGATGCTGGGCTTGGTGAAAATTCTCCAGATCTCTTAACTCAAATCTCAAAAACTGAGTACATTTCTGAGTGAGTCTCTCGGATAGAAACTGAGTAAGTTTTTGAGATCGAAACTTACTCAGTTTCAATCTCAGATGGGGATCTGAATTCCACATTGGAACATTAAAATAAAAACCCCCAAACTCATTGTGTTAGCACTCAGTGCCTCGGGGTTTGACAGTGGTCGATGCGGATTTATCCCCAGAGAAACCTGGTCTGACAGCTACTCATGTTAAACCTATCAGAGCTGACACACGCTCTGACAACAAACTTTATCTGTGAAAGGTGTAAAACATGAAGCGGGATACAAGTCAGGAAAAGGTATTTACAAGATGTAAGAAGCTGCACACATATCATGGATAATAAGGGAAAACCCAACTGCCTAACAGATGAGGGATTCACTATACTTCTCAGCATAGTGTCTTTATCAAAGATTATGAGATTTATGTCAAAATAATGCCATATTAGATATGTTTACAATTAACACTTTATACTGGTGGCTCAGAGAAAGCTATAATTTGGCAGCTGCTGGTTTTAGCAGATAACGGAAGTAGCAAAGGTGCTAAGAACTCAAATTGACATCTTTCTTGATTAACCGTTACAAAATGAGGCTCGTTGTTAAAGTAAAATGCCATCAATGAGCATAAGCAAATATATATATATATATATATATATATATATATATATATATATATATATATATATATATATATATATATATATATATATATATATTATCAAGTCTTGCAGCATATTCTTTGATGGATTTAGAATTGGACTTTGGCTCCTTCATTATTATTTGCAACACATAAAACATGAATAACATACATTGAAGTTTGTAGCTGTGCCATGACCAAATGAGAAAAGGAACAAATGTTTCTGCAAAGCACTATATGTCCGTGTGCATTTGTGTAAAAAATAAAATAAAATTAAATAAAATAAAAAAAAACACATGGGGCCTCTGTCAACAATTACATTATTCTCCATTTTATCTGATTTATATTAAATTGTAAGTCAATTTTATTTAACTCAACTCAAAAAGAACCAAGCTGAGATTTCTCATCACTACTTTTATGTCACAATAATTCATTCCACAAGACATATCAGAATTTAAAACTTGAGCAGCGCTCTATACTATACTGTGACAGCATAGTTACTCACCAACGCTTGTTACAGGTTTGACTTCTCACAGACATATCTCACAGTGATCTGATTCTTACAGGCGGTGAGCTTCTGAGATCTAAATAAGTCTCAATTTCAGACTTGACATATTGCAGGTCCATTCTGATCCTTGATGTATTAGAAATTGGCCCCTTGAGTCTTGTCCCAGAAAACAATCCAAGGAAGCCACTTCCTGGGAACCAGCTCCCACATCGGCTCTGCTCTCCCTCTGGGTTTTCTTCCCGACTCCCTCCATCTCCAAGGAGGGATAAATCTTTGTTATGAATAATTTACTAACTTCAAATTTGTCTTTTCCGCTTTTTTTCTTATCCAATAAGGTGTCATGCAGCGAGCCGCCGTGAAAAATTAATGAGCAGATGACATGAATTATTAATCGATATCTAATTACAACCCCCCAAAAAACTGAACGAAGACTTGACAGGAAATTGATGGTGTTTTGACTGCAGACGTCGGCGTCTGAATTGTTATGGATGAGATTTGAATTGGACCTATTACACCTAAATAGTGTCTGCTGGGTGAGGAGTGGGACCCATACATCAGCTACTTTGCGCTGGGGACAAAAATATAAGTAATAAGATAATACTTTTTTTATGCCTGTACGGTTAATGTACAATTATATAGCTGTATAGTTAGTCTTTAACTTGCATCTGAACAATTTTCCTTCCATAGTATCAGGAGCATGTTGCATTGCAACATGCCCAGTATAATGTACAGTCATATTCAATAACTTAGAATATTACTAAAAAGTTCATTTGTTTCAGTAACTCAATTTACTAAATGTAAGACTGATGTTTTTCCAAGTCTTTATTGTTTTATTTTCTGCTCATAAAAACATTTTTCATGAAGAAATCTGGGCATAATGGAAAGCAAGTTTAATAGTTGTTAAATGTCCTTATTTTCAAATAAGGAAAGTCTATTCCTCACTGTGCTAAGACCCATCCTACACCTCAATTTTACTGCATCTGAGACACACAGGGTTGTGGACATTAAATCATCTGTCAGAAAGCAGAGGGGTCTTCAAGGCACCACCTCCAGCACCAATTTTAATGCATTTTGAGCATGCACACCTGCATTCATAACAACATTTCACCTAAACACCGGCACACATGCATACTCCGGGGGGAAAAAAAACAAAAAAACAAACAAACAGGAAACAGTGGAGTGGCATTGCCCTTATGTAGTTCTTGGGTCGGCACCTGCTCTGTCTCAGTGGGGACTGTCATGGGGGCTCTGGCAGCATTACAGGAGGAGGACAAGTGGGTTGGGTGCTTTGTTGGCGTGATGGTGTTTGTGTTGGGGGTCATTTGTTCTCTGCGTGGTGGCCTATGGCTCACAGGATGTATGGACTCAGCTGGGTCCTGCTGGGGTTTTTAGTCCTTTGTCGAATCAGGTGTGATAGCAATGGGCGATAGGGCAGTTTGGTTTAACGTGTCTCTCCCAGCGCCTTTCTGCCCTGAGGGCAACTTCTCCTGTGCTTCACTGTCAAGCTGCCTCCGTGGTGGGGGTAAAGCTAGCAGGTGGGGGGTGCCTGGTGTCTGTCTGCCTGAGGCTGATGCGGCCTCTGGGAGCTGGGGCTGCCTGCCTCTTGCTGCTCTTGAATGATGAGTGCTAAAATTTTCTACTCTTCTCACCAGTGTATTGTCTTTGCAACTTCAGCTGACAAACTAACACACAAACCTATCCTACAGACATTCAAACTCATGCACCCAAACGTATAATCTGAAAGACTGAATGTAATAAAATCAGATTTTAATAGATTTTTTTGTTAACGCAACGTGTCTAGTTTGACGATTTATGGAATCCTAATTTAATAAAGTTAAGCAAGCAATTAAGATGTCATCTCCAGCTATCTTTTTTCCTAAATCAAAGCTGCCCTTACTTGTGTATGCAATGAGCTATTTCATAGGATATACCTTAAATTTAACAGCAGGACACGTGAACAAAAAAGGAATGTTTAACAACAAAACATATACTTTGCTTTTCCTTCCAATTTATCTGAATGGTGAGGTAAATGTAATCATGATAGTTCATATATTTAAGTTTTAAAGACAATGGCTGACAGTTGCATATTTGAATGCATATGCCCAGATGTCACATGTCTTCTCTTCGGTAACACTCTGCCAGGTTAGGTACACGTCAAACTCTAAACTTTTTATTTCGTCCTTTTGATTGGGAGGATATGTATGAAAAATGTCATGCTCAATGATGGTCAGCATCCAGCTCTTTGCAACTATCAGTGTAATAATCCATCATAAATCACTTCAATTTCCAGTTGATGCTTTGTCACACTTACAGGTTGTGAAGGTAGCAGTGACGGGCTGGCTCCGACCCTGCTCTCTGAGCGCCACCAGGTTGACTGTATATTCCTCCCCGGGCCTCAGACCGCTCTGAATAAATGAGGTGATGGTGCTGGGCAGCTGGGCCGTCATGCCGCCATCATTGTCCTTTACAATAATAGACAAAAGTGATAAGGTAAGCTAACGATATTTTAACAGTGACGCTATAGAAGACGAAGTAGTCCACATAAAACTAACTTGTTGAAAACAATTTACACTTCCTGTAAATGTACAGAGAAATGTACTGCAGTCCTTTTACCTGTAAACTTTTGGATGGTTTAGCACATTAAATTCCCAAACCATATTACCAAGCAAAAAAAAACTATGTGCAACAGTGATTTTTAATTTTTTTTTCCAGGTCGTGTTCTGCAGAGGCAGCAGTCTGTGCAATTCCAAAGGCCTGTCACTCATCAGTACAGAGGCCCCAGCTGCATCCAGCTGTTCTCAAAGAGTCAATGTTGCAAATGCACTTCCTGCTGACAGATGTTTTACCTACTGCTGATCTGAGAACCCCAACCACTTGCACTTTGACGATTGTCATCGGAGCAGAACATAAAGGATGTAGCAACTTTCTTTAAATACATTTCTAATATGAAAATGTAGTCTAGGTTTGTCAGTAACACATAATCAAACTGGAATAAATACATTTCAATCAGTCTGAATAACAATAAAAGTCGAAAAAAGTAAACAGAATCATTGTCCGTATCACAGAGTGGAGGACTGTGTGATTTTTTTGGTGTTATTTGATTTCTTTTTGTCTATTTACTCAAGTCCCTTCTCCACTGTCAAGTCTTACTGTAGCTGGTTAACGTCTGTTTTATTCTGGAGCATCTCCTTTGCAGTCTGTTCCTCACTATTTTGGGCGTGTCAATCAGCCTCGTGAACATGCTGCTAAATGTGCTAATGGCAGAGGAACAACTTTCCAATCCAGGAAAAAAAAAAAAAAAACTGTTTATCCGCCGTCAGTGGTGGTCGTGTTAACTAGCCTGGTCAATCATGGCAGACTCTGCTATTTGGAAGAATCTGTTGCGTAGCAGAGAGGAAGAGGGAGGCTCTGAGTAGCATGTACACAAGGATGTATTTCTGCAGTTAGCATTTCAAGAAGTCAGAGGAGCTTGATTTTGATTTTTTTTTTTCCAGAAATGTTGGCCAGAGCTGCACCGTTTCTTGCTCTTTCGGTGCGTGCCTGTTCTTCCGAGAGATGTGCTGCTTGCAATGCAGGGCTGCAAAATCATGATTATTCAACTTCAAAAATTGATGCATGTGCTCCCGGCAGTGCTCATAATTACGCACATCCACACCAAGCAGCTACCTGATATCAGAAAAGTGATTAAAGTCCCATCTGTGAGGAAAGGGCTTATAAAAACCTACTCAAAAACCTCACCCCTAAAGTCAATGTAAAGTTTTTCCTTAGATCTTAGACACGTCTCAGAAGTTTTATTTTTATCCAGTAGTAATAAAGATCATCCTGTTGTCACACAGAATGTCAGAGCAAGTTCTTTTTTTAACTATCACTGAAAATTAAACATTTTCACAGGCAAGAAAACAGCCCAAGATTTTTTAAGAGGGGCTATAAATATTTCCTCAGGAATTTATTTTTTTTCTTTGTTCTAATATTTGCTGCTCAGTATAAGCCTAAAGGTGTGATACCTGGAGCTTTTGCTTTGATAGGAGGCTCTCATTTCCTGGGATCTTAAACTTGCTAAGAACTGCTAAAATGCTCTTCCACCGCCTTAATGTTCAGGGCAAACCTGTGTAAGCTTGTTCCTACCCTTCCTCGTTTTTAGATATCCCGTTTTTCTTAGTTATTTGCACAGTGGCTGTTTCTCTCTGTGACAATATCAATGTCTCTGTCTTGTTCACTTTTAGTCTAGTTCTAGCCTACTCTGCTTACGCAGAACCAGGACCAAACAAGGAGAAGCAACATCCTACTTATATTCACCACAAATCTGGAACAAACTTCCAGAAAACTGCAAAACATCTCAAACGCCGAGTTTCTTTAAATCAAGGCTAAAACCTTTGTTTGGAGAAACACTAAGAACATGTAAAATTGACCAACATATTCAATGTGCACTGGTGATTTTGATGATGGCATTTGATAAAATGCAATGTTTAATGCTTGTGTCACAATTGGGGACTGTATGATGTTTTTATGATGTAAAGCACTGAGAACCGTGCTGATGCTGACTACAAAAAAGAGTCCAAGTGCTAAGTTTAAACCTTCTAAATCCCACTCATATGTAATATTTTTCATGTAGAAAAGTTGCACCAAAAAGCGTTAACAGTAGTCTCTGTTATTCCCCTTCACAGTAGCTGTATTTTATTTTTTTTCTTTCTGTTTGCAGTGCTGCTGGTTTGTGTGTGTCGCTACCAGGCAGCAAGAATATCATGAAACCTATCAGGGGAGCAGTAGCGTGGATAAAAGAAGAACCCAGTGACTTTCACTTTGATTGTGAGACAGAGTCGTTGCTGTGGCGGAGCACTTAATGCTCTGAGTGCTCCTCATGTTTTAAATGTCACTTGGTATTGCTGTGAGCCAAATAATGGAGAAACCATCCACCCCCACTGTCTTCCTCCATCAAAAGGCTTCTGAAAGACTGAGGTTAAAGGCAAAATTTTTGTGCATGTACACATAAAAAATGCTTTACTTACGCAGAGATAAAATCGGTAATCTTAACAGATTTAAAAAAAAAAAGATGTATATATTTCATGCAATTAAAGATGCAAAATAAACGCACGTTGCCTTTAAATTTGACTTGAAGATGATCCAGTGTCAACAGATGCTTTAGCAATAAATACATGGAATCATGCTATGTTTCATTTCTATAAACCCAATACGCAGAATTACAGAATAATAAACTAGAAGCTGTAATATACTTTTACAAAAGGAAAGTTATAAAACTGACATTCTTACTGTTGGATGTTTTTACACACTGTGCATGACCCTAATCATTATACCTTAACTCTAACATACAACGTGTACCGTTTATTTACGTTCTGTGCTCAAAAAACTGCAACAAAACAGCTTTTAGTTTTCCTCACATGCACTACAGTGTTGCTTTTCCCAACAATGGTGGTCTCAAAGCTCCCTTTTCTCTCCCCCGTCCCCCTTTCTCTGTTTCCCCTTTCGAGAATTTTGTGTTGCACAGGCCAAAGCATTAATGCCTACTTCCATTACGAGATTGTCAAAATTCACAATCCCCGCTGCTGGATTAAATCCACGGGGGGTGGGACTGCCAACCCTTAATATGATTTCCCCTGTGGTGGTAGAAAGAGACAGTGAGGGAAGATTGAGTGAAAGGAATGCACAGTAGAATGAAAAGGATGCAAGGTAGTTAGAGAAAAGAGTTACATCAAGCAAGAAGTGGTGCATGGAAGGTATAATAATCAAGAGATCTGGGAAACTGAGAGGTGATGGACACCAACGAGGTATTGAGTTATGGAAAGACAGAAAAGAGGAGAATGGCTAAAACCAGTGAAATGATACTGCTTTTCTTTAATACGGTAAAAACAAGCAAAACAAAACAAAACAAAAATGCTCTCAGCCTCAGATTTAGGGCTTAGTGCCAGCCCATAACAGGGGGTATCTCCCTTGAGAACACCTTAAAGAAGAAAACCAATTACTGTGAGAGGGGAGATTAGAATTTGGAGTCTATATAAGGTTACAGTACTTCTCGCATTTTAGCTCAAAACCTGTCCTTGATATGATTTCACAAAGAAAAGGGGAAAGGGAGTAAGCTTGTTTATCCATCTAACAGCCAATGACCTTAACACAAGCCGCTTCCTTAATTACATTCAAGCTTCATGTTGTGCAGGCACTTAAACTTAAAGCGATATTGAAAATACTGTGTAAATTCTGGCTAAACTGAGCTTCTGCTCCTCAAGACCATTGCAAAATGGTGTGTAAAGAAGTCCATGAGAAACCATTACACCTTGCTGCTTTCAGAATGTTCATCATTCAGGTTATCTGTATCATTTTATTCAGGTGGATGTGTCGACTTTTTGGTTTCGTTGCAATAATTTCAGTTCATATAAAGTCTATTAGGGTTTTTTGTGATAGATGGCATAAACACACTTGTAGAAGGCAGTCCTGTGTATGTATGCACTGAATCATAAAAAGCGTAATCAAAACATTCTCAAACATGATTTCACATCACATTTTTTTTTTTCTAAATATCATGCAACCCTAGTATTAAACATTGTGTTCTACCTTGGGGATGAAGCTGATCTCCCACCCATCAAAGGAATAGTAAAACGGTTGCCATTGGACTTCCACTGATGTCTCTGTGATAGATTTGAAGACTAATCCATCTGGATTGGAGAGATCTGGATACATAGAAAAAAAGCATTTGTTTAGTAACACTCTGTTTCATTCTTGTACTTTACTACATTTTAGACTGATTATCAATAAGGCTACATTAACTTTCGCTTTTCTTTATTGTTAAGGTGTAACTGTTTTTTGTTCATTCCAATCCAGATTCATGTGACTAAAATTAAATGTCAAAGTTTTCCATGATCTGGATCCGAATACAGCTGATATGGTTTGTAGTTGCAGACATGGTAACCAATGACATGTTAAGTACCATTCTGCCTAGTTATTCTAGCTTCACAAGTTGCATTTTCTTTTGAATAGTTTAGATATATACACAAAATATTCCTTAGATAGGTGACTTTCCGCGGATAACTCGGAGTCATAATCCATAGAAAAATCAACAAACAGGCTAATCTGCAAATGCTGAACAGCAAAAAGACAGTGAGCCACTGTATGTCTCCAGAAGCTTTAAACATCTAGAGTATAACGCTTTTAAATGCTTTTTTTAATTGCAAAATAGTTCACATTTGGTCAAACTGGATGAAGTGCTTTTAGGTACTTAATTGGATTTAGGTCCTTACATGAACTACAGTTTCTTGCACATTAAAACTGCTAAAATCAAAATCAGTCCACTATTGGACTTGCTTGTTGTTTTGTATTCATCATCTCCAAAACTTTGAGTGATGTTCCTGTCCTTCAAAACAAAAGCACCCCAGCAGTAGGGGGGCAGTGTTTAGCAGTGATCTCCTTACCTTAACTTTCAGTTTAGGTTATGTTTTCAGTCATATTATACGCTGGCACACAATTAATTGATCGGTGTTCTGTGAGATGTTCAAACCTTGTAATATTGTTTTAGAACCTAACCTAACTTTTATAGTTTTAACAAAACAACTGGATTTAGATTTTTATATCGAGTTTAAATTATGCACAAAATGACTACTAAGCGACTTGGTGATTTCTGAAGGCAACTGGTTGAGCTTAATTTTACCCTTCACTTGTAAAGGAGATGAGTGCACACTACACATTTCTGAATTATAATCATCTCTTAAACATTTTGGAATGTTTTTTATTGATTTGTCTTATGAAATACCTGTAAAACACATTAAATCTTATGGTATTTAATGTGACAGAATTTGAAAGCGTTCCAGGGCATGAATACTTTAAGAAGGTTCCGTACTTCCACAATAATCTATGATCATTTTGTTGTATAAATATATAATCTGCACTTCAGTAAACAAAAAATATAATCATTACTCACCAGCACACAGTATTTCTGCAAGATATTAAAATGCCTTGTTCACCAGCAGCTACGATCTAAACATCTCGATGGATAATCGGATTCTCTGTTTTATAATGTTATTTCAAGAAGACAACCCAATATATCACATCCTCACTGAAAAATGGCTCCATCAAGTTTAATTATTCTAAATTGACTTTATTACTCAAAATTTTTACCATAACTGAAATAAAATTCACTTATGTGTGAAATTGAGGATGATTTTAGCAGCCTTGATGGGACTAATGGAAATATGTTTTTGCAGCCACACATCAGCTGCAATAATGAATAGGCTATTACTTACTTAGGGGGTTGATAAGTCTGCGCTCTTAGTAGGCATGAAAACAACTGGCATGCCTCCCCAGCAGATCCGCTGGCTTGCCATTAACACCTGCCAGCGTGTGTGTGACACTGAGCAGTTTTTGCAGGTTATATCACAGCCAGACAGCATAAACAAGCAGGTCGTGATCTTAAACAAATTGGAAGTATTTTCTTTTTTTTAAGGGGAGGTGTAAATGCATTTATATAACTGACATGAGACTGTCAGAATGTATTAATGGAAAACCTCTCAAAAAAAAAAAAAAAGTACATTAGGTCTGGGACTGAACGCGTAAACTCCAGCAACTGCCAAGTGAGTCTTTTGAAAAGATGATATAAACAAAGTACAGAACGAAACTTACACGTCCAAACAGTGATACTGGAGGGAACGCTGATTGAGTTGTTGATGACAGCAAACACATTGATGTTGTACTCTATGCCCGCTTCAAGACCTGTGATAATCCAAGATGATGTGTTTCCTGGGAGCCTCACTTCTAGCTGCACACCTGACAGAAAAAACAACAACAACAAAAAAAAAATATGACAAAAGGATGCACTTTTATCCCCTGTTGCTTTTGCACGGCATTATGACACGACAGATGTTTGAAATGGTATTTTTTTTCTAGATTAAATAGAGATCTCTCCTTACCTCCAGGGCTGCTTGGGGTATAGGTCACCAAGAAATCTGTCACCATAATGGACCCTTCCCACTCCAGCTCGATAGTACGATCTGTAACTCCACGTGCATTTAAATTCATGGCAGGTGCCACTGTTGAAACAAACACACACAAAATATATTTTATATATATATATATATATATATATATATATATATATATTGTGCTTTGTTAAAGATTAAACCTTCAACTTCAAATTATAACAGTCCATAAAGTTAAAAAATAATCAAAGACAGCAAGTGTAAGAAAACAAATGACTATTTTAAATTTAAATCAGTTTTCTTTGTAATTAAAAACAAAACCGGACTCAGCCATATGCTTGTTTTTTGAGTAAGTTAGTATACGGAAAATAAATGTATGGCACAAGCAGGCCAATGTGCGCAAGAATGTCATTAGATTACTTTCTTTTTAACACTTTCACAATCTGCAAATTGTTTGCCAGAGGTTTAAAAAAAATGACCATCACATGCATAAGGCATGTTTAAAGCTATACCACAAATTCACACACTACTGCTCTCCACACTATGGTCTCCGCCTAAAAAGCAGAGGCCATGTTGAATAAAAACACGTCATCAAAAAATAAGGAAAATAGAGAAGAATGTTGAGATTAAGTAATGAAAATACAATAACATAACTGCTGTCAACTACAAGATTTTAACAATGTGGGTGAAAATTTGCTGCCTATTTTCTTTTTTTTTTTTTTTTTTAACGATGTGACTATCTTAAAAGTAGAAAAACTGGCCAGAGAACACTGGAAGTTGAAAAAGGGTTAAATGACAGCTAAAAGCTGTTCTAAGTGCTTGGATAAAATGAATCTGGATGTTTCCTGCTTCTTAAAGACATTCAGAACAAGTCAGAACAACCTTAATTGACCCATTAGTGTGACATTTTAAAAACTTGATTTTCCCAACCAATGTTCGAAAAAGTCTAGGCCTCTTCTGTCTGGATATCTGAGAATCTTTTCTAAAGTTTTAGCCAGCTAAAAACTTTCCTTCAAAATGAAACTCTGTTTTATTACAAATCCACATTAGCTGATCCCACAGACTGAAGCTGAACATTAGTTCAAAAGGAGACAACAACCATTTGGACCATCTTAAAGAACTCCAGTGTCAATAATGTCATTGCACTTAATGGATAGGTTATGTTATGAACTATTAAAATGCTTGCATTGAGTAGTCTTTAAGACCTTTTTTTTTTTTTTGTCCACACACATGATTGATGCTCCATCAGTAAAGGGCCTGACTGAAACGTGTAGTGATAATGAAATATGTAAAAAAAAAAAAAAAAACTCAGCAGCATGTGTTTTACACAGTAAGATCCATCATATCTCACCATTTCCATTTGCCATGTAAACAATCCTTTTTTGTCAGTAAAAATAATGAGCTAATTCAAACATCAAAGCAGTGCAAAGCCTCACCTGAAGGCGTTCGTCTGTCAAACAACAAAAGTAATGTTACTCAGAATCATCAAACACGTTGTAATCTATTTAAATATTCACTGAGTGTTTTCACATATACACAGTTTTTCTCCCCTCTCAACTCTTTTCAGTGTTAAAATAAGTGAGCAATGAGTACATCTGACACTGACACTATGCTGAAATATTAAAAACACTCATAGATAACATTCTTCTTCCACACTCCAGTTATTTTTGTCATAACAGCTGATGATGAGGGGAAAAAAAGCAAGCTCATTTTTCTAAATGCACTTTTGTGTAATAGCCTTTATGTACAGTACAGATGATTGATCAGTCAAACCACTCTCAATACATCTGACTAGCAAACATAAATAAATAAACTGCTGTAAATGAGGGCTGTAAAGCTTTCGATCGCATCAGCTCCTGTAGCAAATACGATTTGTGAATACAATAAATGTAAATGCTGTGTGCATTAATGGCTTAGCCCAAAGCAGGTCTCCACACTTTAAATTAGCAAACAAAAACATTAGCGGTGCCTGATAAAACACTCGGCCGCAGCAGCTCACAGGCTCAGTTTCAATCACTCATGAAACAAAATGAAATCAAATGCCATATTCGTTTGGCTACATCTCGACTTCTGCGCCAGACTCGGCACACGTTCAGAAGCCTCCAATAAAAGAGAGCACAAACATCGTCGTAATTAAAGACACTCCGTACGGCTTGCTAAACACCTTTCATTTCACCACTTCGCTGATAGTGAAAATTCCCACAAGTAAAAAAACTCTGCACTTGTAGCGAGAGGCGAGCTTTTCCAGCCATAAACCAGACCGACAGCTATGAATGTAAATGTGGAGGCATATGCAGGAGTGTTTACAGCTTCCCCTGCCACAAAGAACAAAAGCGGGGCTGGGGAGACAAGTGAAGGACGTACACAGGAAGATGAAGCGGTGGACACGAACGGTTTAAGTCAGAGACACACAGAGGACAGAATAGAGTGGGAAAAGTGGATGGAGCGTGTGCGTGAGAGGAGTAAATAATTAATCCTGAAAGATGATCAAGTGAGCGATAAAGACAAGAAGCGTGAAGCGGACACAGGTAAAGGGCCAATGAGTGCAACGGTGTGATAAACAACCTCTCACCTCCGCAGCACAGGAGGCCATACAACGAGGCCTCCTCTGGGAACTTTTGGGACATTTCAGAAGCCACTTCAACTACTTTCCCACGTGCCTGACAGACGGGCAACATGCTGTGCAGCAGCTTGTTTATTTTAAAGCGGCACGAACAACTTCTCCAACATTTTGCAGCGAGATTTATTTCAGCAGCCCAACTCAACTTGGTTGGGTACAGGAAGAAAATAAAAGTCCAAGGGGAAGCAACAGAAGTCCAGAGGAAAGATGAACAGTGATGAAATAAGGTCAGCCTGCAGGCGAAGTGAAGTCATTCACTCAAAAACAGAGACATAAATCAAGATGAAAGACAGGAGTAGAGTTCCTGTGAATGTAAAATTTGTCCTGAAGCTAAAGTGTGTACGTTTTCTGTAAAGAGTAATGCAATATACACGAACACTGGTGAGCTTTTATTAATATTTGAATATGATGCAGCTGCAAGAAAGGTTTCAACATACCAGCTTTTTCTCAGGATACATTTTCTTCAAAGACGGTCAATAAATACACCAGAAGCAGTGTAATGGGAAAACCACCAGAAACAGCCGATCAATTAGATGTTATATGAAGATGAAGTTATATCTTTTAACTTATTACAGTTCTTAAAGTTTTGCTTCAGTATAAAAAGAAATTGGCACCATTTATCCAAATTGCATCTTTTGTGGTTAAATTCAAAAGAGCAACAGACTGAAGGTCATTTCAGCATCTTGTGATAACTCCAAGTCTCATTAGGCGTAATCAGCGGAAAGACTGAGCCTAACAACAAAGGTCACTCCACCATCAGATGCTCCATTGTGTAATTAACTTCTATTACCTGATTGCGTTAAGACCTTTACGCAGTGGTCTGAGAAGGTTTTGCCCCCTTACAGATTTCTCGTATTTTTGCATGTTTGTCATGCACAGTTGTCAAATAAATTTCAATAAAAGACAAACAACCTGAGTAAGAAAGTTAGCGTCTTTCTAAAGCTTTTTTTTTCCACCAGAGAGAAGGAAATCATCATTTAAAAAAAATATTTTGTATACCTTTCTCCAATAATAATATTAATTTGATTATCTGAAACACTAAAGTACAACAATAAATGTTTCAGAAAGTGTGAAAAATATTATTTGCCACCTGCATATAAAAGTAGGAAGTAGACTTAAATTACAAAACATTTTTTAACAGTAGCTGTTGTTACGATGCACGACTAATGTCAATTTATTTCTCTCAGATAAGTTTAAAATTCACCTTCTCGTAATTCATTATTGCAAGTTACAGAAACATTTTTTTTCTTTTACTTTTATCAGTACTGCATAAGTAAATGGCAAAAATGAATGTATTGTAAAATGCACCGCCATTCAGTCCTTTTCAGCTGGTCCATGTGTGAGATAAAAATACAATACTTAAGAAAAAATAAAAAGGGTTTTTAAAATCACTAATCCCTAGTTGCAGCAACAACTTCATTACACGAAACATTTAAACAGACTTATTTTTTAGTTAACCAGCACAAATGATGTCAACACAAGCAGAGGCACTGATTCCAAGGAGGAAAAGAAAATCGGGATAAGAATCAAGCCTGGAACTACAGCTATTCTTTTGTCCATCCTAATTTTGGCTCTTGTCCAGTCCTGACAAAATGGAGTGGATGAGGTGGAACTTTCAGTGCAGGAACAAGAAATCAGCAGCTATTGTCCCCACTACTCTGCAGAGACTTGACCCTGTCACGACTCGGTGGGCAGTAGGTCTTTCACGCCAACAAAATACAGGTAGGTGAAGCTAACGTCTTGATAGAATAAAATTCTGTATCAACATGAATAAGGTTCTGATGATTAAGCGTAGTCACGCAGGCCTCTAAAATGACTTGTAATTTAACAAGTCAGAGGACTACAAAGCGCTTCACACTATAGTCTCACATTCACATGTTGAATGTGGTACAGCTGCTGGATTGTCACCACAACTGGTTTGGGGCAGTTTGACAGAAGCGAGGCTGCCAAGCCATCAGCGCTAGTGGTGGCTGCTGACCACCACCAGCAGCCAAGGTGAGTGAATCGTCTTTCTCAAGGACACAACGACAGAGACAAACAGAGCAGGGACTAGAACCAGCAACTCACAAATGACAGGACAAACTCCAACTTTCTGAGCCACCATCGGCCATTCCAAGTATAGACAGTGCTTGGAGATCAAAAACAGTGTGACTTAGCAAAGGGCATTTTAACTAAGTACTATTAAAACTGAGATTCAAAAACAGGCCATTTCAGAATCAATACATCCATGTCAGTTTTGGTAGATTGCTACACAGAAACTACTAAAGAGTTCATCACAAGAGCAAAAACTTTTTAAGGGTTTAGACATCATTCTGTCAGAAGGTATAGTTTCAGTCTAAACCAAATACATTCAAGGTGTTATCACAATTAACGTGTTTAGTCCGTTTAAAACAAATTCTGGTTCACTCTGACCTTGGTGTGTTTTGTAGCTGTGAACAGAACAATCACACCAAGACGGGGATCCCCATACCGCCTCCTCTGTCTCGCGACA